TACCAAGCACATGTATCTATACTAAAATTTGAAAAGTTTTGACCCATTCTTTCACTTTATTTTATAGGGACAACCAAGTTCAAGAATCTTGATAGTAACATTGGTTCACTGAAAGTAAAGCTCTCAGAAGAAGATTTGAAAGAAATATCTGATGCTGTTCCGACAAATGAGGTTGCAGGTGATCGTTTGCCAGAGGGTTTTAAGTCGATTCATCTGGAAGTTTGGTAATACTCCACAAAAGGGGAGCAAGTTTTCAACTTGAAAGAACCATGGATGCAAAGTCTACAGCGAAATAATGAGGTTTGGGTGATGGGGTACAATAATGAAGTGTACAGTGAGAGCAGAAGCATGCATTACCAAAATAATAAAATTAAATTAAACAGGCTTGTATTATTTTTCTGTATGCGACTTGTAGTTAGTAATCTTCCAAGTTACGGTTTAAAAATGAATTAGTTTGTTTATCAGGTAAAGACTGGTAGCAGTTCTCTACCAGATGCTTCTACTTGGAGAAATAAAAATCTAAGAATTTCCAGAAATTTTTATACAATCTGTTTTCTTTGCTAGATGTCTATTACAATGCTTCATCTCTTCTATTGGAGAGTATTCCATTAGCCCGAAACCTCATATTTTGTTGCAGACTTTGCATCCATGGGTATCTCAAGTTGAAGCCTTGATACCCTTTGGTGGTCTATTACCAAACTTTCAGTGGAACTGGCATAAGACCACCTGCCACCTTGATCATTTATCGAAACCGCATCCGGAGTTTCTTTCAAATATTCTCCAGAGAGCATTACTTTCAGTGAATCAATGTTACTTGTGCTCTGGATCTGAGTTGCAATATCAGCAGGCTATGAAGAAGAGAAAATGGATGTTGAAAAATCACAGAATGTGACTGAACCAGAACCGGTGCTATTTGACCCCTTGATGAAGAAGCTAAGCAAGGGCTAATTGTGCAGGGATACATCCATTCTTCCAACAAAACGAAGACAGAAAGTTGAAGCGGTTACAGATGATTTCCCCACGATAAGGTTATGAAACAATCTTATGATGATTTCAGTTGCAGCACTTACAGTATGCAGATTATTGTGAAAAAAAAAATATGTGCATCTGAACATCATCAAGCTCCTTCCTGGTGAGATGAACAATGACCAAAAACTTCAGGTAGATAAGAATTGTGAAAATACTTTACAAGCATTACCCCTATAAAGGAATGATGATACCCGTATACGAAGATAGTGAATTCAATGAAAGCTTTCCATAGTTCGATTTAACAAACGTAAACTAAAAGCACAAAAAGAATATTGCACCAGCCGGGAATCGAACCCGGGTCTGTACCGTGGCAGGGTACTATTCTACCACTAGACCACTGGTGCTTTGCTGATTACAAGAATTTTAATACATTTATTAGGTTAGGCATTAATTTTGAGTATGGCCCTCGGATTAGATGGTAGAAATTAGAAAAGATATGCAAATGTCGCCCATGCAAGGATTAATTGCTTTAGTCATCATCAAATTACGACCTATTTTTAAATTAATCCAAAATTCTAACAGATTCTTATTTGGTTATGAGTAATGATATTTTCATCATTCATCGGTTCTAAGAATCTAGCATGTCACTAGTGCAAGATTAATTATCTCCACTGTCCTCAAATTATGATTTAAGTTTTAAACTTATCATAAATATCAAACATATTCTAATTGAGTCCTCGTAGTATTAATTGAATTCTTTTGTAAGCCAAAATATCAGCTTGAATATCAATTATTGACTAAATCACAATACGAGACACCTTCACAACACATGATCAAATTTTAAGTAATGTGTGCGTATTATAACTTAAATTTAGTATGTCACGAAAATAAATAACCTCTTAATATTATCCACGTAATTATTTTTTAATAAATTAAATTTAAATTAAAAATAAACTTCAAAGTTTGGGTCAGTTTTACACTATTTTTAAAAATTGATTTTTAAAAAATTTTTAAAACAAAGTTTAAAAGTGGTTTTTCAAAAGTGCAGTTTAAAATTTATTTGTTTGAGATTGTTGTTAAAAAATAAATTTAAAAAGATAAAATATTCATTTTAGATATTATGTTGTTAATTAAAAATATAACATTTAAATTATATTTACACTTGTTAATACTAAGATATATAAAAGATATATGTAATACCTAAATTTGATCTGACCCGAAATCTAAAGTATTTAAATATTACACCAAACCACCGAAGTGGCTAACAATTTTTAAAAAAAACATTACTCGTAGACATAAATATCCATCTATAGATAAAAGCGTAAACATTTAAGTTTTACAAATTGAGGAGTTCCCAAATAATGTCTCAAAAACATCATAGTGGAATAAAAGAGTTATGACTCAATTAATACAAAATGTCTATGAAATACATGCCCTCTAAGATAATCGAGACGTACTTTGTAGCTTGAATTAATTTGGAATCCTCAATCTGACGGTAAACTCCTCGAAATGACAACTAAGAATCTACAAATGGAAATAAATTTCGAATGTTGAGCCAAGAGCTCATTACCACACATATAACTTTACTACCCTTATCTCTTTCTTCTTCCCTTCACCTTGCCTTTGCGAAGCTATAATCTTGGTTTCAGCATCGATCTTGGTACCGTTTTGCTTAGTTTGTCCTTCCCTTAACTTAGAACCAACCTCGCCTTTCATCTTGACCTCAGCTACATCAATCTTGGCTTGGTTAACAGCCTCCATCTGAGTCTTTTGAAACAAGTAAGAAAAATACTTGTGACCAGATAAATCAACAAGCTGTTGGACGTTACAATTGTAGATGAAAAGCCCAAACAAGTTAATTCAAGTTGAAGCTTGTCAAAAACCTCACGTTTAAACTCTTTGGTTCCGTTGAAAATCTCTTCCATGGTCATGACAGTAGCAATAACCCTAATTTTTTCCTCGATCGTGCCTTGAATCAGTTCTTTGACATGGTCGGATTATTTATGGTGGGGGAGATATAAGTCTAGCGTACTTGATGAAGCTGTCGTTATCGCCCTCATGGGGGCCGATGGTGAACACCACAGGGACTCTGAGCTATATGTGCCCCATGATGGCGTTGGATGTAGTGACAAGGCGGGGGTGGGGGTCAGAAGAGGTGAAGGGGCGGGGGCCAGAAGAGGTAAGGCAGTGGGAAGAGGTAAGGGGCTGGTAGTGCAGGTATCCCGAATTTGCATGCAAAGATGACGGAACAGGCGGGGGTGGCGAAACAAAGACGCGGACTAGCCCAACACACCTAATATAAAGGACTTAGATATACCGCTCACACTAAACCAAGTCTTTGATGTTGGCCTTATATTTTATAAATCCTTAAACCACAATAATGCTTAGTTAGTATGACTGGCCATATATAGAGTCGACCATATATCAATTAGACAGCAGAGCCGATCATATAATAAAACTAACACAAGTGCACTAAGAATTTAAAAACAACTAAAGCTTAAATTGAAAAACTTAAGAGAAAAGAGAACTTTTATTAATACAAAAGGACAATTACAATATTACACACCTACCGCACATTTTCATTTAAGTAATAAAGTATACCCATTTTTTTCATTTAAGTACCTAAAGTATACACACTTTTTTCAATGAAGTAACTAAAGTATTTTTTGTCAAAATAAATACTTAAAGTTATCTATTTGGTCAAAATAGATACCTAAATAATTTTATGTCAAAATAAGTACCAAACTATTCAAACTTTTTCATGTAAGTTCTAAAAAACTTGACATGTGACAATAATTAAAGAATACTTTAAGTACTTATATAAAAAAAATTGAACACTTTATGTACCTATTTTAACCAAAAATGCTTAGGTACCTATTTTGACCAAAAAATTAACTTTAGGCACTTATTTTGATCAAAAAATACTTTAGGTACTTAAATAAAAAAGATAATATACTTTAAGTACTTTTTTGTTATATAAGAAAAAAATACAAAGCTTGAAATAAAGGGCAAATTATATAAATCATGAGTAAACTTTATTCTCTCTCCTATTATGGTCACTAAACTTTGAAAGATTCAATTTACTGATTAAACTTTCAAATTACTTTTATTTTGATTAGTATATTGTCAACTATTTTATGGTAGTATGACATGAACTAACATCAAAACAACGTTATTATGAAAAAAAATCAAATCCATACTAAAATGACAATGTTTTGAATATTTATAAAAATTCTTTTATTTCTTTATTTTTCGTCATCTAATTTTTCTCTCTATTTAATCATATTCTAATCGATTATTACCTTCAACTACCACATCATTTTCCATGTCGGCCACCACCTATCACTGTTGATGATGATTGTTGAACCCTAATTATTTTCTTATAGACTCTTTTCAACCTTTTGAACACGAATAAGACTTCATTTTCGTTAAAAGGATTGCAACAACGATAAATATTCAAATCAAAGAAGAGCTATAATAGAATTCAGGTGGAGATCACGACGAATTGACACTGCACATTAAACATGCATCTTTTGTACTATAATATATTATTATTTATTTTTTAAAATTAAAATATTGATTTATAAAAGAAATAATTTTAAAATATTACATGTCATGTGTCATTTTATGATTAAATATCGTCATATATAATATAATGTTTTCTAATTTAATTAAAATTTTGAATAATATAAAAAAGTAAAAATTCAAAAATATTTCATAATAAGAATTGTTAAAACGAATTTTCACACATCAAAATAAATTTCAATTTAAAACATATGCATATAAATGAAAACATCTCACTATATAATTTTCATTAATACTAACGATTAAACCAATAGTTATGCTTGAGCTTAAGCATCAACCACAAAAGCTCAATCATTTACTCAACACCAAATAGATAGAGAATTCAATTTCAATGTTCCAATGCCCCCCCCCCCAAAAAAAAAAAAAAACAGAAAGGCGTCCATCTCATTACGGGCCAAAATCGATTAGGATTTTTTTTTAAACTGGGAAAAGAACATGGTTTCGTTTTCCCGCCTTCCCGCTTCCTCAATCAAAGTCTTCATTTATTTATTTTTTATCTATTTATTATTTTTCTGGGTTTCTACTTTCGACCAAATTACAAAGGAAAAAAAAAGCAGGAAGGGGAGCATTTGGCGGTCTCTGGGGAAATTCTTAAGCTTTCAGTCTTGAAAGAGAGCAAGAGAGTGATGAAGATGTAGAGCCTTTGGTGAAAATGGGTACTCCAGAGAAAACCCAGATCACTCCTACTTCTCTTTCCAAATTCGAGGTTTTCCCTTTCTCTTTCTATACTTTGCACTGTAGAAGATGGGTTTTAAGAATTTGGGTTTTCTTTCCTTTATTTTGTGTGAAAGGATTTATGGGTTTTGGCCTTGCATGTGAAGTTTATTTTGTTCAGTTTTAGCTTGAATTTGCTCCGATCATTTTGTTTTGAGTTGATTTTGGATGCTTTACTGTGAATTGTTGACGGGTATTTGTGTTTAGGCTAATGCACGGATTTGTTTCTTGTCATGGATTCGTCTTGTGCTGAAGGGGTTATATACAAATTTTGGCTAAATCTTCTCATGGAGACTCTGATACATTGGTGTATTTGATTCTAGTTGTTTTGGCATATTAGGCCTGCTAGTTGTAGAATTGAAAAAAGAAAAGAAAAACTACACGACAGAGATGAAAGTTCCACCAATTTAACCAAACTTGATGCCGTGAAATCTTCGGAATTCTATAATTCTTCAACTCAACCATTTCTAGTGTGGGTGTCAACGTGGAACATATGCAGAGCCATTTGGAATGTATACTTATGGATGGTCGAGATTTCATTATTTTATACAATTAATTATTGGAGATGTCAGTTCACAATGTTGATGATATAGAAAAAAGTACCTCCCCCCTCTAGTTTTGTTTAAATTGCTTTATCTTTTTCTTGGTTGTATGGTTGCTTGTTTCATTGTGTTACTTGATCATTTGTTAATCCTGTTATTAGACTTACATGCTAAGTTTAAATGGTTGCTTTCTTACATTGCAGGATTCACCTGTCTTTAAGTACATTGACAGTCTCTCGCCTATCGAGCTAGGCAAGTCCAGTCAGACAAATAATGATTTCAATTCGTTAGCCTGTTTGTCCCCTTCATCTTTGTTTCCTTCCCCACAGATCAATTGCCATAGGGAATCCAGGTTTTCAGTTGAAAGGTAAAATTAAATTTTCTTATTAATGTATTTGGTAATAATTTTAGTGTCCCTAATGGTATTGGTTTCAGGCATCATTTATCGGCAGATTCAAACTCTAGGGTCCTTCAGAACGGTAATCAATCTAATACAAGTGAGGAAGCTTCAAAAGCTGTTGAGCAATCTGATTTGTACAATGAACATCTGGGATGTCTCGATAAGGACAGTTCATTCAAAGGAATTAGCTGTAATATCTTTGATGAGAAATCAGATTTAGCAATTGAGTTGCCAAGAACCTCAAACTACAATTGTGGAAGTCCTGATGGCAACTTGGAGCCTTGTTATAAGTTACTTAAAAAAACAAGTCCGGAAGTGGCTGGGCAAGAGAGATCTCCTTTCCAACGCAATAGAGATGAATGGCAAGAGAGGCAACGGTCATTTGAAAGTGAAAGAGATTTACGTAAAATACGTGGAATTAAGCTGAGTGAAGAATCAGCAGGATGTGGCTGGGTTGCAATTGTTTCTGATGTTGCTGATATATTGACAGTAAATTCAGCTAATGTTATTCATGAGAATACCGATGGACAAGACCTGGGAATGGAAGACTCTGATACAACCTCTTTTATATCAAATATCCCACAGATTCCACTAGATAATGCAAATAATTTGGAAAATGTAGAATCTGGTGACCTTCGAGTTTCTCGTGAACAAAATGAATTGGGAGAGCCAGTGACAGATCAGACATCTGGCATCCTGTCTAGATGTCTAGTGGACAAACTAGTTGTCAGTGATTCAGGTTTGAAAAATGATGACAAGATGAAATTCAACCAGTTCAGTCGTCAGGTAAACTTAAAAAACTGTTTAAGTACATTTTAACGGCACGCTGCAATTTAAGATCTTAGATTTCTATGGAATTTTATATTAACATTTTTTTCTTTTTGAGAAAATGAAAGATTGATACTATATTTGAGCCGTTGTTTTCTTTTTGAGAAAATGAAAGAATGGTACCAGATTTGAGCCATTATTGTGACATGTTTACCTTAAATCATATTGGTTATGTGTGTGCTTATCAACAACTTTTTTCCTGTAGGAGTGTTTTTCTTAAATGTTTATTCTATTTTCCCTGATCAATGCTTGGCATATTTCAGTAATTATACTTTATATTATTCTCTAAGCAGCGTAGCATAAGACGACGTTGTTTGGTTTTTGAGAAATCTCCTGGTTTTGGTTTGCACTTGACTTCCCTTCCAAACATCTCAAAAGGTGGTATTTCTTTGACAGACGGCTCTAGCTTTTGAAAACCAATTTATATGCATGTCGGGCTCCTTGACATTTCCTAGTTTTCTGACTGCAGGTCAGAGTCCTCCTAATAAATCAACTCTAAGCTTTATAAAAACGGGTAAGGTTCCTTGTGACAGTGGAGCTGTGGTTGCAGAAAATTCTTCCGAGACACCTGCAACTGTTGGTGGCGATGATGCTGGCCATAGTACTCCTGAAAAGAAGAGGCATGTATAAGATTAATTCAATCTAAGGTTTGTATTAAAGCACTTGATACAAACTGAGTTCATTTTAATACTGTGCAGACAAAAGTTTGAATTTATTGAGAGTGCATCCTGCAAGCGCTGTAACTGTAAGAGATCAAAATGCTTGAAACTGTAAGTCTTTCATATTTATTTAAACCTATATTTACGGTCAGTGTCCATAATCTTCAAGTGTTTCACCAAATATATTCCTGCATTCAGTTAGTTAATCTATTTTGATACTGAAGACCATTAGTCCTTTAGTTACTCTGAATTAATAACTCAGGTAAATCATAGCTTCTCTTCATACATCTAAAAATATCAGATATTCTGCCCAACTTTATGGTGCCGCATTACATTTGATTTCTACAATTGCTTAATGAATCTGATTCCAATAGCCTGTTAGACTGAAATGTGATTTAATTATCATGTTTACCTTGTTTAGATATTTATCATGGGCTTGTTTAGATAGTTATTATTTCTTTCGAATTATTGCTTTCATTGTAACTGTTTTTTTACTGTTTCTTGTACTTGAGATTCAGCTGTATTCTATATTGTTTGCCTAGTTCTACTGGCTGTATTTTATGTTGCAGTTATTGTGACTGCTTTGCTGCCGGTCTCTACTGTATTGAGCCGTGTTCATGCCTAGATTGTTTCAATAAGCCAATTCATGAAAACGTGGTTTTAGAGACTCGCAAACAGATTGAATCTCGCAATCCACAAGCATTTGCTCCCAAAGTGGTTAGAAGCACAGACGGTGTTTTGGACTCCTGGGTTAGATTCTATTTTGTTGATTAAGCTTCTGAATTTTAGAGTAGCATCAAAGCTCATCACTTATATTGGCATGTGGCCTTTTTCTTGGTATATTTGAATAAGGCCACATGAGAAAAGGGAGTTGAACTTTGGATCTCAATACTCGGACGGCTAACAATCACTTGGCCGATCCAATTATTAGCTTGAACTCATCCGACATGGCTCATAATGTTGTGGTGCTTTGGTTTTGATGACGATTTTGCCAAATTCAGATAATTGATGTCTTATTTACGCAATTCCACGTAATTACATCAAAACGGTGTTGCTAATGCAGGGCGAAACTAGCAATACTCCAGCGTCGGCGAGACATAAAAGAGGATGCAATTGTAAAAGGTCAAGTTGCTTAAAGAAGTACTGTGAATGTTTTCAGGTATGTCAATTAAAAGCATTGTGCGTTGAATGTTAGTTTCACCAATCTGACATGATTGTTTTCTTCACATACAGGGTGGTGTTGGATGTTCCCCCAGTTGTAGATGTGAAGGTTGTAAAAATAGTTTCGGTCGGAAGGATGGTGAGCCCTTTTCTGGTATTTTCTTGGTCAAATATGAATCGTAATGACTAGAATTAAGATTTATGTTTCTCCCCTCATTTGTAGTTCTTTTCACTTACCAAATTCTGGCATAGGTCTGATATGGCGAGTGCTTTCGACTTTTGTAGTTCTTCCTAATGTTGCCTTCTTTTTCTCTAGGATGTGATGAATCTGAACATAATGAGGACGGCTTAGAGGCTTCTGAACAGAATGCATCAGATAAAAATTCACATGACAATGTAATTGATAAGAAAACCGAAGAGCATCGAGAACTTTCGGTACCTTCTGATATTTCTAGGTACTATTTCACCTTTTGGATTAGTTAACTTATCCTTAAACGTATGTTGCTTAGACTTATAATTTTTCTTTTAAGTATCTTTTTTTGACACTTGTTATAACCGATTATGAATACGAGGATACGACCTTCATGCGTTCATCATTTAAACTTAGAATCTAAACTATGTAGAAAAATGGTTGTCTCTTGTTCCCATAAGTAATGGGGTAAGGGGAGGTAAGATAGTAGGCTGCTCCCAACACTAGGTTGAGAACAGCTTTCGTAGGAGACCTCCAAATTATAAAATGCCCTCTATGGGACCCGATCCCACGACCTCAAAGTTAAGACCTCCAAACTATGTAGCCTTGAGCTAAAACTCATTTAAGTGGTTTAGTCTATTCTGCAGGTTGCCATTTGCTTATAGAGGAAAGCTCACGGGATCTTTTCAACATGGCTCGGATTCATCCTCATGTATGTCCAAATTCGATTCAAATCTTCAGGCAATTCCGGAAAACAAAACTCCCGAGGTTCCGAAACATAAATGCTTACCACTTGTTCCGAAACTGAACTCCTCTCCCAACTCTAAGAGGGTGTCATCGCCTCATCGCGAGTGCGCTTCAACCGCTGCACACCGAAGTAGGAAATTGAAACTGAAATTTGTCCCTTCAATCCGATCATCGTCTCTGCCATCAGAACCGTGATTTTCAAGAACCGTCGTCGTTATCCGTGTAAGGTAACAATGTAGTTCCATTATCAGTTGTGCAGCGGATGAGTATGTTTATAAAGTGGTAGTCCCTGTAATGTTGTGTATTCCGCTTGTTTACCGTAAATTGCAGGCTTGTTTGTAGCTGACAATCATAAGAATGTGTTGGAGAATGTATAGAACTCAGTATACAGATATTTGCTTCTAACTCCTGTTGGATTATATCTGCCATTTATGCTTGTCTTTAGTTGAATGAGTTTAAATTTGAGCCGGTTCACCAGAATTTATTTCAAAATTTTAATAATTTTTTGAATTTTATTTTTTTACTTAAAGATTAAATAAACACTCAAACTTTAAATTAAAATCAATTATACGTTCGAACTCATTACATCGTTTTCACACATAGACTATCATATAAGCATCATGGATCATACTAATGGTCACCACATTAGTATGATAGATTACTACAATTAATTATCACATTAATATCGTAATGTTTATTGTCAATCAATAAATGAAATTGATGCAATTAAATGGATTAGAAGATAAAAATAATTTAATTAAAAATAAGAATAAAATTGGATTTAGATATAGTATGGAGATAAAATGACCCCAAAGTCTAAAATATTCAAGCCATCACTCTATGATAAGCAACCATAATTATTCATTGGAAGTCATCTTTTATTTAACGAAGTAAATTTCCCTGAAGAATAATTGAGAGACATAATCTTTCAAATACCTTGGAACAAAAGATGAACATACTTGTGTCAAATATATTTTTGTATCCGACACTCGAACTCGAGTCCCGAGTGGATGGCGATGTTCCAAATATGAAATTACGAGAAAGAAAGAAGAATCATCTCATAAGTTTTCTAGTTTTTTTTATGGCGGTATGCTAAATAATACATCAAAACCTCAAACAGATAACAGGAATGGCAAAATAAAGTGGACAGCACACATGAATGGCGACTTGTAACTCAAATTCGTCGGAGACAGAAATTTTGAATCTTTAAAACATAAAAGTTATCGTCAACCCCCTTTTCTGTTCTAGAGTATGGGGCAATAATTCAAGTGTTCAATCGACGTCATCGGTGTTGAGACTAAATTTTCAAGACTAATTTTTCAAACTTCTTAAAGAACAAGTAAGCAAACCGAGTTTATTGGCGGCTCTCTGCTTGTAGTCTTTCTCCAAGGCTGTTGCTGCCAAAGACTGGAGCTCTGGACTCTCCTTGTCTTCCTTGTTCCTTCCTTTTGAAACCTGTGCTATGGCTGAGATGCACTGAATAAGAGTATTAAACTTCATGTTAGACAGAGTTCAAATTACGAGGAGATAAACCGAGTGCAATACTAATTAAAAAGATATCGCTTATTATAAGGATAAAAAGCCGATGCATGCATCCAATGAATTGTATTGCACCTTAATTCTTAAACGAAAGATAAGTAGCTTACCAAGCAAATTCCGAAAAGTGCTCGGGTATTCTTACCCCCAGTCAAGTCTATAGTGGATGCATAATATTTCTTAGCAGTCTGAAGGTTTTCTAGTCCACCGAGTGTGTAGAGCACCTGTTAACGAAAGGTAAAATAAATTATCATCGAAAAACAATCACAAGGAGTACTCGAATTCCAGCTAGAAGTCTTTATGCTATCCATTAACATCCATCAAGATGCTACCCTCTTGGTTAGTCAGCAACCATTGTTGTTCTATGGTGAATTCAAGGTTGCATTTTAGCATGATGATAGCTATAGAAGTGGTTTCTTGTTTTACGGCCTTTTTATTTTTGCAGAATCAAAATTACTATGGAACAAGTTCTCGATTAGGTGGATTAACTATGAAAGGGGAAAAACCGTAAGAAGGGCAACAAGATGTATAATGTTGGAGTTGAAAATGCACTGATGAAATGGCATCTTGGATTTGAGATATATTAAGACACTCACATCAGCATAGGCCAAATGATATAACGGAACCGTAGGCTGAGACAAAATAAGCTCCTCATAGCAGAATGCTGCTTGCTTGTACCTGATTTATCAACAAAAACCAAAAGGCTTAAGCTACCTGCCATGTTATGGGTTGGAAACATAATAGCTGATAAGATAGAATTCCATAAATTAACACTCACATTTGTAGGGAGACATATAGCTCTGCTTGTTCTCTCCAAGCCTCGTGATCCGCCATAAATCTAGCAAAAGAAAAACGGAAATTGAGAAACAATAGCTCTTCAGCAGATTATCGAATTAGGAAGCATGACCAATAAAGGGCAGACAGAAAGATCTAAGACTAAAGAGGTATCTCACATTTCGAGATATTTATTAAGCAATTCAATAGCCTCTGAAATATTTCCTTGAGCTTTTGCCATGGCTATCCTCCTCTTATGTATTATCTGCACAAGAATATAATATTTTGTTATTAATCCTTTTTGCACAACATTTCATGAAAAAAACGAACACGATTAACAATGGCTACGGAATTTACTTGATCAAGAGAATTGTCCTCTAAAAGACTGGAGTAAGCCTTTTCTGCCTCAGCCCAGGATCCCTTTGCTTCAAGCAACATGCCATTCAGCCGACCTGTAGACCGGGACAAAACAAAACCACTGGGTCAAAACATGATAAGAGCAAAGGAAAATAGTCGTCATCAACGCATCCTTCCTAATCCAAAAGAATGAAACTAATTTATGAACAAATTCGTCCATCCCAATTCATGCCGTAAAGCTATCAGTAAGGTAGAGCATTGGCCAAGGTGTTCAGAAGAAGCTTAATTTAAGGAGCGTCAACTATCAAAGCGAAGGCCAGAAATGTATGATTCACACATAAATGAACAGCAAGATATATAATCAATTGCCTTGCGTGCTTACCAACTCTTTTGCTCTCCGGAAATTTCTTCTGCAAAACCTTTATGCAATCCTGCAGAATTAAATTGCACGGATGTAAGTCAGGCAACTTCATAAAACAACTATCAACTCGTAACTAGAGCATCGAAGCTATATCGCATTGCAGTTCAAGAAACAATGCAAGAAACTAACATATAAGATTAAGAATCGATGTCAGCAAAGCCGGAACCAAAAGTATCGAACAAGAGTCACATCATTTTGAACATGGAACAGAGTAAAACCAGAATGTTCTAACTAATGCCCCAACATAGCAAGAGAAGGAGGAGTAAAGAAGCGACGTAAGGAACAAATAGCAAAAGAGAAACCATAACAAAATGACAGTGGTCAACCCCATGGACAATCACAAATTGAATAGGTGAAAGATAAGAATAGTTTGTACATAAATGAAAGTTTCAGTATAAACAAAAACAAAATCAGAAAATCGATCCAAAACCGACCCTACCTTTGCAACATCTAGACATTGGCAATCCATAGCAGCTATAGCTACCTGCTCATAGAGAGTCCATTCTGCATACAAAACCAAAAAGCTTCAAGCTTTAAATTCAGGCACATGAATAACAGAAGAGCAATTCAAGAAGCTTCAATTTGTGAAATTCAAACAAAACTCAAGTTGACAACTAATAAAGAGCAAACAGCTTTAAAACAAAAACAAATCTAATTACCAAAAAAACATAAAATCAATAAGAAAAACTCAAAATTCAAACCAAACACTTTGGAATCATCGAATTGAAGCAAAACCCAATTTCAGAAACCAACGAAAGCTTGAAGAAAGAAAGAGTAACCTTCGGGGCCAAGAGCAGATCGTTTTTTGGGGTCATTTAAGATCGATAAGCCATGTTTCAAGACTTTCTCTGAACGCCTAACTTTAAGCTTCCTGACAAGGCAAAGATACTCCCAAGCACCTCCTCCTCCATTGTCTACCTGATTCTCAAGCCTGTTCAATTGGGTTTCCTCTGTTTTGCTCACCATCCTTCTCTCTCTTTCGAGCTATGTTTTTGGTTTCTCTCCCAACTCTGACTAGTGGCCGGTGTTTTGGATCTCTAAAATGGGTCAATTCATTGAGTTTCTGACTATTTGAGCACTTTTCCTTTGTTTGTTTGTTTGTTTGTTGTGTGTGTGTGTGTGTGTGTGTTTGGTTAAGCTTCCAAGTCGCAATCATTGTCATTGTTGAAACACAATGGGCTTTCATCTCTGTTTTTCTTATGATTCTTTATTTCTTGGTGTAATACCCAAACCATGCAATGGCCCAAAATAAAGCACTGATCCACCAAAGAAGAAGACCCCATCAAAGAAATAAAACGCAGCGTATTACAGGAGACCCTTATTATGTTTGGTTTGTTTGTTTTCAGGAACCTCAAAAAGCTCTCGAATTGGCCTTCACACTCCCTGCTTCTTGCTGTGCCACAATGGCCATAGCCCATACGAGAGCTTCTCAAGACATCAACTTCAGCATACACTTTGCCTAAATGTTTCCTTCATTTCCTCAATTCCGAGCCCCATAGGATTGAGAATTTATTTCCGAACTCATCTCAAATCTTACCTCAATGCAGAACATCGTCTTATTTTGTTATCGGTGCATTTGCAGGTTGCATTCCAGAAGACCCTTGACTAATAAACATGTTACCACTCGTATAGTGTACGAGACGAGTATCAACCTGCCATATATAATGAATCGGGAACCAGAAAACAAGGTTTATTCCCATACTGGTTTACATACATGACAAAACCAAAGTCATATTTTGATACAAGATTGTTGCTTCCAAAAGTTGTCATCAAGATATCCATGTCCCTGGTTACTAGTTTTATATGAACACGTACACATGCTGTATCAGTCAGGATAGAGCAATATAAACAAATAATAATTGATAGATAGACGATAAGTATGGCTTAATTCATTTGAACTCCATCATCCATTTTGAAGAAAATTATGAAACTTGATGCACAAGTAGGAACTGTAAAGGTGCAGGAAGATCAACTATAACCTAGAACTAACAATTAGCATTTGTTTGAAAAACCGAAATGCCTTGCTACTAAGGTGCTATTGACTGTAATCGATGCCTAATATCGGATAAGCTGAACTCTAAAAGATTGGTACAGGTACAGGCACAGGCACAGGCACAGGTAGGGGTATGATACAAACAGCATAGCTTCATTGACATTAATCCTCCGGCTTGGTAGTGTTCTCTTTAAAGCTTTTGGTCAACCAAATGGCAGTTTCCCTAGGGGAGACCTTTCCAGGTCCAAATGGCTTTAGTAGCACACAGAGCTCGTCATACCTCTCTTGCTGCAACAACCTTGCACTAAATTAGAGCATTCCTTCCAATGCTTCTGCACGTTGCTGGAACGATGAGGGGTCAACCCTTCGTCTCTGTGTGTCTGATGAGGTGCGGCAAGATGCCCCGGCAATTGCATTTTGATCAGAGGAAACACTTACATCATCTCCATCTGCATGGAACGAGCTGTGTTGAATTCCCTGTCATGCATCAGCGAAATTTGGCTTGCTAGACAATTGATCGCATATATGAACTGTACATTTGTCTTTCGTGATTGAATGGTTGACAAATTGTGGCGTGCTAGAGAAGCCCCATTCAGATTTTGGAGAAGTTTTGTTGATGGGGAAGAATGCATCTTCATATGAGGCTAACGGGAATTCAGCTATCTTATCAATTCGAGGAGCATTGACGGAGACATCCGATGATTGTATGTGGTGAAGAATACCAGCATTAGATCTACAAGGAGGTTCTTGAACCGTAGTTCTTGTCGGCAGAGGCAAGGAAGCTCTTCGAGTTGAGGGGAGAGGTTTCTTAACTGGAGTGCGCGAAACCTGAAACGGTAAACACAATGCAACTAAAGCTAAAAACCCAGATTTCGAAACAAGAAAAATGTTATAGCTAAGAATCTCTATAAATGTGTTTTGCGAGGCGGGAACTCCATAGAATTTACCGAGTCAAGGTTTCTCAAAAGCTCTTTCTCTCTCTTGGGAGTTGCAGAAGCTTTTGTCAAAGAACATTTCGGACCCTTGGTGACACTTGAAAGTTTCGAAGTAATTTGCAAATAACAGTTCCTTCTTGGCTGCTATCAATAGACAAATCTTCTAACCTTCTATTCAGTATACCATTTGTATCATGATGTATTCCTTTGGTAGAGCAGACAGAATCTTGCTCGGCTCCTGATATGCTTGGATTTAAAGTCCTGTCGTTGGATCGATGCCTCTCCTTGTAAATGGAGAAGAGGGTATCTATGGGGTCCGAAAATCTAGTTTTCTTTATATTGGTTTCAGGCCGAAGCACAGGTAAAGTATTCCTTCTACGATTATTAATTTTATGATGAACTTTAACAACATAAGGCTGAAGGTGTGGATGCCTGAGCAGTTCCTCGGCCTGTCAAAATCGGTAGATACCTTGGATGAGAAAGATCATAAAAAACATTCTGAAACCATTTACAGATCGAACTGCATTCAGACTCGTAAATATGCTCTGCATATATTGTTAGACAGAATAGAGGAGAGCCAATACATACACTTGGCCTAAGTTCAGGATTTTTGCGCAACATGCTTTTCACAAGGCCGCGGCTGAAAAGAAATTGATGCAATAATCAGACCAACATGACTCTTCAGTAGAAAACCGAAATGCTTGTAAATGAGGCTTACAAGGCACTGGAATATTTTGTAGGAAGTGGAGAGACTATAGATCTGTTAATCTTGTTTATCAGCGCCTGCATACCCTGCTCATGAGATTAAAGATTACTCGAAAGCTCGAAAGAGAAAACAAAACATGTAACGAGAATGATTCGCTAAACATTAAACAGAGTTTCGAAATGCAGTAATGCCTCTGAATGTCAAAGCATCAATTATTTCTAACAAAGTACACTCATTAGACGGAAGCGATTGCATTTTCATATTCACCAACACAAATGAGTTACAGTTCGGTCACTACAAATAGAATAAAACATCCGAATAGCACAAGAAAAATTTACAAGATCTAAACAAACAACAGCTCGATACATTACAATCGATACACCTGCTTACGAAAGACTGTCTAATAAAGGGTAAAAGGAACTCACAAATGCTTTAAATGCAGGCTTGAGAGAAGTCATTTCATATATACAGCACCCTGGAAAACATATATTAAGTCATATAAACACATAGAGAGAAATTATCGAGATCGACTGATAAAAACAAGCATTTTCCACTACATGCACGTGCTTACCTAATGACCAGATATCAGACTTAGAACCGTAAGGTATATCAGCCAGAAGCTCCGGGCACATATAGCTCGGAGTTCCGACGACCTGAAAAAAGCATATAAAGTATTCTCCCTAACTACAATCAATAAAATCGGGTGATGATGCATGAATTCTTGAAGGTTAGTAGGGTACTTACAGAGGATGCAAGATCATCTGAAGTCAAAATTTTAGCAAGTCCAAAATCGTCAAGACGTATGTCTTGATCTTTTGTCACAAAGATATTTGAACACTTAAAAGAAAAATAAAATAAGCCACTATTAATAAAAGTGGTAACACTGTCAGCAAGAGCGGAACAGCATGTCGCTAACCTTGACGTCACGATGAAGAATGTGATTCAAGTGCAGATACTCGAGAGCCATCAGGAGATGAACAAGCCACTTGCACAGTTTCTGAACATGCTCGGAAGATCGGAGTTAAGTTTCTTCGATGAACAGTCCAAAACAAGGGAATAGGAATGCAGTAAAAAATGAACTGTAGTTAAAAGCATGGGAATAAACAAATTTACAAACCGCTTCGGGGAAAAGCATGCCATTCGCTTTCTTTATGGCTTCAGCCCTGTTTTATACAAAAAATCTTATTACCATTCGCCAAATTCGTGCAAGGTTCTTCAAGTTACAAATATAAATGCACTATCTCACAGATACCAGTATCAGCAAAGAAATGAAACTTACATGTCTTCGCCTTCACAATAACTTATGATAATGCAGACATAGCAACCCTGGTAACAAGGACATGTGAACCCGTGTTAGGCTGTTGATCACCGGGAAGGTTCTGATATTAATGTCATGACAATTATGACATATAATGGCGATGTCCGGAAAGAGTGTAAAAAAGGACGAGAATCGAGGCCTATCCAGCACAGTAGCTATTAAAGGGAACTAGCAAGCATACCTTTTCCACCCAGGAATCTTTGTACTCCACAATAAATGGATTTCGGATTTTAGAAATGAGCTCCATCTACACGAACAAATTGAAAGATTAGTGTATTAGATCGAACTAAACTGAGTTCATACCGATAAACTAGCTGTAAGACAGCAATTTTGGACAACTCTAGTCCAAGTTTGGTCCAGCCAAACATCAACATTGTTCCATATATAAAAAAATTGCTAAGATTATAGTTGAATATAAAGCAATCGGAATCAATCTCTTCTTTTCTAGCGAATGTTTGACTTGATGAAATACAAAAGGAATAGCAAAGATGTATGAATAAACCATACGAACCTCCTGATGAGCAGATCTTCGTGACCTATCAGTCTGGCGGGCGAGACGTATCTTTTTCAGCACATTCCTTATTAGTAACCCCAAAGATGAAAGGGTAAATCAATTGCTAAAAGATGACTCAAATAATAACCATTTCTAATTGTTCTTCTACTAAGATTTCACATGTAATTAAGTTAAATATAAACAGAGGACGGACTAGGCCGGTACAAGTCCGTCCTAGCAATCTTACTTCTTCTTTTCATGCTTATGCCTCACTAGAAGAGCTGAACCGAAAGCTCCCTTCCCAATTTGCTCCAATACTTCATATTGCTCCATGTTTAAGAAAAGTACTTGACTTCCTTTACTGTATTGCATGAAAGAAAATTGAGTCAAGGCATTCGATGTTCATGAATCCTTCACAAAAGCTAGAGATGCAGTCGAATATACAGTAATTTTCAGCAAAAGGATGAGAACGAAGAGTTTCTGTAAGCTATAAGGAAAAAAAAAACAACATTGAAAGAATCAAACTTCAATGTACTACAATTCATTGCATAAGGGTCTAAAAAGGGCAAATCTAAACAATGATTAAAAAAATTCTCCAAACAACAATGTTAAAAAGCTTCAAATACATCAATTTCATGTCAGGATCTGGGGGGGAACTTTGTTTTGTACATTATC